TAGAGCTTTAACTTGCATTTTTGGATGACACGGCGAACTGTGTTCACAGACAGTGATTTTTGGAAGTATTCCTGAGCCCATGCAGTGAAATCCATCACAGATTCATGCCTGATTTTAATGCAGTGCCGTCTGAGGGCCCGAAGATCACGGGCATCCAATATTGTGTTTTCGGCTTTGTCCCTTGTGCACGGAGATGTCTCCAGATTCTCTGAGTATTTAAATGATATTTTGTACTGTAGATTATATATTTAAAGTCTTTGCGATTTTACATTAAGGAACAGTTTTCTGAAATTGCTCAACAATTTTTGGGAGCAGCTTTTCACAGACTGTTGAATCTCGGCCCATCTTTACTTCTGAGACACTCTGACTCTCTAAGCTCTTTCATCTTAGTACAAGTTACTTTGCCAGCTTTTTGTTGCCCTGTCCCAACTTTTTTGAGACGTGTTGCTGTCATCAATTTCAAAATGACCATATTTTTTTCCTAAAATGGGAAAAATTTTCTCAATTTAACAATTTCCCTGCTAAGGACGTATGTCGTGCAGAGGAACAAAAGTGTTCCCGACTGGCCAAGGACATATGACATATGGACCTGGCATTTACAGTTCTGCTATAAGCTCATGGTCACTTTAGGGACTGTCCCCTCATTGAGTGCTGGGGCTGCAGAAAAAAAAATTGAGGACCCTATAACAAAAAAACTAATTAAAAAAAGCACAACCCCTCCCTCCACCCACATAGCATACACATACAGTATTGAGGTGTACGCCATGCACATGCGCTGCAGTGCGTTGTTAGAATGCATTGCAGTGCATGATTTTTTTAATGTATTTTGTTTTCTTTTAAAAAAAATATATATTAACTGTGGCAGCACGTGGCAAAGCTTTGTGACACATTGCCATGCATCGTGATCTTTGTGTTGCAATTAAATATAGGCCTGTATCATTTTATCACAACACAAACACTAACACAGCGTAAAAACAATTTTTTAACACAAGTCGCTTATTTACAGTTTTGCGTACCGTAATTTTTTTACCTTTTCGCAAAAAGGCGCAATTTCAAATTTGAAAATATTTGTTATTTATTAACTCAATACAGTTTTATTTAGTCAGAAAATGTTTTTTTTTTTGTGCACGGATACTGATTTTGGTGTGTTTTAACAATTGAATTGTGTATTTTTATCGGTTTAATATTAATTTTAATATTAATTTGAGAAACATTTGCGCAATTATCGCACGGCCTACAAATTTAGTATCACCATCTTTTTATTCTACCGGGCCTGCGTTTTCAGAAAATATATGGTTTGGGGGGAAAATCAAATCAATGGGAAAAAAATTGCAAAAATGGCGTAGCCAGCTGATTTAAAAAATGTTCCGGAGGGCTTGGCAGTGAAAGGGTTAAACATTTGATATGTTTTCTATGTTTTATTGCAGGGGTCCTCGGCTGTGGTTTCACAGAGGAATAAGTGTGAGCTCTCCAAGACCAACCTCTTCTTTATGCATAGGTCTGTGCTCAATTCAGAGACGCTAATGGTTGACACGACATATTGATTTTATGTAGATTTTACACAATGTCCCAACTTTTTGGGAATTAGGGTTGTACCAATATGGGAGCTGTTTTACCTGTCAAAAGATTTTCTTTTCATCCAGTCCTGAGTTTTACACAGCTCTGCCACACAGCACAGCTATGACTAGCAGGGAAGGGAACCTATGTATGTCTGGAGTCATTTCACTTTCTCTTCAGGGTCCCTTCCCTACCTTCACCTTATGACTAGACAGTGAAAAGAAAAGAAGCACACTGATGAGCTCATTTCCCTGTCACTCTGCTTTCTCCTTCTATTAGCTTGCTCCTTATACTGCAGCACATCTGACTAGTGCCTTGTGCTGTGCTTTTCTCTCCTCTTCTCTGAGCTCTGCAATATATACTGCACAGCAAACTGCGAGGGGGTGATTCCCTGCCCATTGTAGGTACTTACATTGCTATAATTAAATAAAATATAATACATTAATGTATTAATGAATACAGAACCTTACTATTTGTATTATTCTTATACCTGCCTGAAATTCAGCTTCAAAGTGAACCTGAACTTAAAAAAAAAGATTTGTTTATGTTAAAGGAAACATCTAGAAATGTTGGTTCTGCCTAAGCAGTATCCTAACAATATACCTTTTTATCTTGAATTCCTCTTGAAAAATAGTAGTTCACTTCCTGACATGGGACTGAGCCTAGGCCCTCCTATTCCTTAAGCCTAATACAGTATCTGTGTATCTACAGTGTAAGATCCTTTGTGCACTGCTGCCTCTAACTACTAGTCTTGTTGGATTTGGTAATGTTAGTACTTTGCTGCTCACTGTTCTCCTTGCTGGAGAGAAGGCTGCACCTGATGACCTGCAGTGAGCGGATCTCCCTGATTCTGCTTCATTCAGTAGATTTGTGCTTTCTGCACCTTTCTCGATGCTTCATGATCATTACTCCACCAGTCATCAGATCACCAGTCATCAGATCACCAGTCACCGGGCGGGCAGCTGTCACAAAAGAAAGCAAAGCCCTGCTTTTCTACCAAGATGGCTGCCTCTTCTTGCCCAATTCCTTTTCTGCCACAGCTTCCAAAGACAGTTCCTCTTTAAATTGTCATGTGCCCTTCATTTCCCAGGGTTATTCCAGGATTTAGGGATTTAACCTGCACGGTCCTGGTAAATGTATAGACATAAAGTGCACAGCATATGTAGTGTGAAAGATAATAAATATAGATTTATTTTGTTAACCAATTTTGATTTTTCTTGCAGTAGCAGTGTAACACAGAGACTCAATTACACATACAAACACACACTCACAAAGGTCAAGTTACAAAATCGATGGACCTGTGGCTTTATTCAACCTCAAATATTATGTAACTATGTAAATTTGGGTATACACTGTTATATTTTCTTTGTTCAATCTGCAGGCTGAGCAAAGAAAATAAGTAACCAAGTAACAGTCCATTAAAACTCATTTGGACAACACAACACCTAAAGGAGGGTGAACTAGGCCAAGCAGGCACTTGGTTAGGGAAGGACGGAGAAATAAGTCCAATAACAAAAAGCAATGACTATAAAAGGGAAAAGCTAAAAAAGGAGAAGGTAGAACGATAAGCTGGCTGGAATTCGGTCAGTTTATTGTCAGCTGGAAAGGCTGGATCTTCATTAACCTCACTGCAAACATTATAACTAATGAACACAGATGTGAACATGCATGGCTACAAATCATGGGCATGGCTCATTCATGATTCGGTCCTTTAACTTTGTAAACGTTCCTTTTGTTAAACACAGTTTTATCTTCTATTTTATTAGAATATTTTGGTGGCCCTGTGGGGGAATGACCAACAGTTATAACCACGTCAATGATTTCTTGATGTGTGCAAACAGAACAAAACCGTGCAAAGAACCGTTAATATCGGAAATGTTGGAATGGTGTTATAACATTTGTCCATTATTTTTATTTTTATAGTTAAGTTTTTTTGTTTTTTAGTTTAAGCAAATTGCTGTTGCATTAATTAGTACTGAGTTCTCCAAATTATCTTTAGAGTTAAGCAAATATTTAAATGTGTAATGTCAAGGTATTCTTGATAGAACTGGTGGGTGATTATCAAGTTCATATAATGGATGCCATCTGAACCGAGTCATTCCAGATTGATTGTGGTCGGCTGTACACAGGTAGTGGAAGCACACAGCACCTTTCCTGATTCATGAAAACTATTCAGTGGTCTAGTAGCATAAGAAGATTTACCAAACTGTAAGGGAGCAGGGGTTTATAGGAGACCCCAATGCCATTTTATCACTTTATTATCCCAACAGAAGATATGATTTAGGATCTAATGTGAATTTGTGATATCTTAGCTGTTCATAAAATAGTGATCTTTCTGTATAAAACAAATTTCTGGTGCATACAATTCATGATCTAGAGTCACATGACCTGAGGAGTCACATAAACAGGGCTTGAAAATTAACTCATCCTCTCGTCTGCGATGAGAGGACACCTGTGCTGGACGGGTCACCGGTTTAAATAGCAAACAGCACATGCTGTGTCCGGCTTCAGACAACAAGACACCCCCCGTCCCCCAGCGAGAGCGCAGTGTGGAATGAAGGGCCTTTCCTGTTAACCAGCAGAGGCGGAAGTGTCACCCAGCACGGAACGGGACAGAGGACCGTGGTCTCAGGCTTTAGCGGTGGGGAAAGTTCATCTAAGCTTTCTTTGGCTACCACAGCGGCCATAATATTAAGGTTAAAAACAGAGAATAATGCATTATAAAGCCGGCAGCATTAAAAATGTAATGGAAAAAGCATAGGAGACATTAAGGTGATATCTGGATGTCATAACAGGCTGTTATCTAATACAAAGGCAACAAAAGCAACATCATAAACCAATTTGGAATGAGTGTTGGTGCTCATGGCAACAGTAAATATTGGCAAATAAGCATTATGTAATGCATTGTGGGCAGCAAATATACTGGGGTGTATGGTATGTCACTGTTGCAATGCATGAAAGCAAAATACAACCTGAGATGACAAGTGGGGTACAGGATGCATAAATGGAAAGATTGTACGGTGAAATTAACAAAAATATTTTGTAGGGCACTTTGCAGGCCCCACAATTTGTGGTGTACTGAGGTCCAAGTACAGCCTCCAAAGCATCACCAAGGTTTAGCTGATTGGATACCTGCATAGAGCACCACATAGATGATATCTTGATTGAAGAAAAAACATTAAGAAAACCAAATGCCTAGTAAAAAAAAAAGGAGGTAAATTCTTCTTAGTGGAGAAAAAACATCAATTCTCCTAGAACATTAGCTCAATAGTGAAGCATGCCGGGAGTAAGGGGTTAGCTTTTTTTTGCCAGGGCCCAAATCTTCCTGTAGGTGGAAGTATAACCCCATTTGTAACAGAATACATACTGATCCTGTGTCCCTTAATGAACAATAAAGAAAAGTATTTTTATTATATTAAAGACATTGTTCATGAAAACAAGATGATGTTTTGTCCATTTTTCTTATCGTCTTAACAGTGTTTAAATGTGCAGGCAGGTATCAGTTCTGTGAAAAGAAAAAGAAAAAAAAACAGTGAAAAAAAAGAAGTTCTGGAATTCTAGCAATGATACAATATGAGCTGAAAGACACTGTACTAATTGTTGACATCTAATGATCAGAGTTAAGTCTGCAGGTAAACTGGTGAAAACGTAACAGAAGCGATCTGGCGACAGGTAAGTCGCCAGGATCGCTTCTGTTGTAAAGCCGACAGTCGGCTCTACAAGTTTAAACAGAGTCCCGGCGGCAAAAGTCGCCGGGAGTCTGTTTAAACAGCCCCGATGCTGGCGACGTATACTGTACGTCGTCAGTCACGAAGGGGTTAATGTATTTCGTTCAGTTGTCACATTTCTGCCATTTGATAGTATTTTCTACTTGTTTTCAATAATGATCATGTATTCATGCCTAACCTCTTGGAGACGGTCATTACAACTACATGTACATGTCATATGTTTAGTAATATATTGGCTAGTCAGATAAGAATTTGTAGATGACAAAATGTTTGGGGGTTTTAAGTCATTTTCAGGCCTAAAATGTGGAATATGACATGGGTGCAAAAAATTAAAAAAAGGCCTCAGTCATGAAGGGGTTAAAACACAATTTTGAGACTGAAAAACCATGTATGCTTTACATCACAAAACAAGTCAACTTGAATGTGATGACTGGCTATACTATAACCTGAATACATACAAACCTTCACAGACACCATATCATATGGCTCTCATAAATACGTTTAAATATTTTGGTGTTACAACAGATCCTGATGAAAACATATCTCCTTGTTCAGTGTATTTTTTCAGCACTAGACTTTGGATAAATGGACGTTCTTTAATATCACTAATATTTGTATGCCATACAGCAATGCAGCCTAAAGCACACACAAATGTTTATACCCTCTGTCAGTTAAAAAAAAGCAAAAATCTGCTGAAATGTTTGCCTTGAACACATACACCGCTCAGCCATAATCTTATGACCACTGACGGGTAAAGTGAATAACATTGATTATCTTGTTACAATGGCATCTGGAAGTGGGTGGCATATATGACGCACAGTTGATGATGGGCAAGTGTAAGGATCTGAGTGACTTTGGCCAAATTGTTATGAATGACGACTGGGTCAGAGCAACTCCAAAACTGCAGCTCTTGTGCAATTTTCCTAGTACGCACTGGTCAGGACCTACCATAAGTGGTCCAAGGAAAGAAAACTGGTAACAGGGTCATAAGCCACCAAGGCTTATTGATGTACATGGAGAGCAAAGGCTGGCCCTTGTAGTTTGACCCAATAGAAGAGTTACAGTAGTTCATATTGCTGAAAAAGGTAATGCTGGTTCCAACAGAAAGGTGTCTGAACACATAGTGACTTGCAATTTGTTGAGTATGGGGCTACTTAGCTGCAGACCAGTCAGAGTGCCCATGCTGACCCCTGTTCACTGCCAAAAGCGCCTACAATGGGCACATGAACTTCAGAACTGGATCACAGAGCAATGGAAGAAAGTGGCCTGGTAGGACGAATCACATTTTCGTTTACATCATGTGGATGGCCAGGTGCGTGTGTGGCGTTTACCTTGGGAAGAGATGGCACAAGGATGCACTATAGGAAGAAGGCAAGCCGGCGGTGCCAGTGTGATGCTTTGGCCAATGTTCTGCTGGGAAACCTTCAGTCCTGCCATTCATGTGGATGTTACTATGACACGTGCTGCCTACCTAAACATTGTTGACCAAGTACACCCCTTCATAGAAATGTTATTCCCTGATGGCAGTGTTCTCTTTCACAACATACAAGGTCTATACCTACTAGAACGCTTGTATGTAAACAGCCATTGCCAGCTGTTTAAAATTTTGACAGTTTCCCGCTCGCGCTGGGGTGGAGCCATGACGTTTTAAAACGCCCACGCGCATCTAGGAAGCTCCCATCCGGCTGCTGATGTCATCATGTCTAATGCATGTCTAATGTGAGCGCTGACTGCTGCAGGACCCAGGAGTGGGTGAGTATATCGTCTTTATTCCAGTTAACCCTTGCAGTGCAGGGGTAGCCCCACTTTAAAGCCTGATTTGGTTGAGTATGTTCTGTCATATATATAGCTTTGGTGTTTATTTGTTCACTCTATAATGCTCCTTCTAGTGGAAAGGTATTTCTGTTCAGTTCTGAGAACACTTCTAGAGACCAGAGTTTACTCTGTAAATGCAGGTTTGGCTATTCATTTTACGTCCCCTTAAAATAAATATTTCAGCTATGGTTGCATGCTGATGGATAGAATTACATTGGTTTCCTAAAGTTCTTAGGAATTCCAGTGGTGAGATTTTCTCAGTGGAGTTCTCAGCTCCACCTCCTTCTGTTTTGAAGAAAGGAAATCTCACTTCTCTTGCTTTGTTCATCTAATAAAATATAAATGAAAGATCCATAAAGGAAGAGAACAAGATTCCTTTGTAATGGCTGAGGGTGAAAGTTGTAATTTACCAATAAACTTAACGGATTGTATAAAAAATAGTTCACCATTATGAGTTATCTTAGGTGAAGAATAAAATGCTAAAATACCTGATGGTACGGCAGATCTGCTTGCACTGTACACTGCAGTGTAGTAGCGTACCCCAAAGTAATCCTCCATAATGTCTTTAGGTTGTCTATCAAATTCAATCAGGCACTGAGTCTCATCGTTGAAGAGGAGGTTCTGGCCTTTAGCTGAAGAAAACATCTGGAACATATCTTTCTCAAATCCGTTCCGTCCATACAGGGACTATAAAATTACACAACACTTCAAGTGAGCCAACTAACTCTTTTAAAATGCATATTGTATATCAACGCTTCTAGGATGTACAGTGACTTCAAAAACCATCAATAGTTAAAAATCTACAGGAAACACCATACAAATGTCCTCAATATCTAAAAAAAAAAAGTGGTCACATTACCACAATTACTCTTCCCAGATAGCAAGGATAACTTGCTACAAACTTATGGCAGGGTGAAATTGTAATTTTTGTTAACTTGCTGCACACATTCCTGGCAAGTTGTAGACTTGCAGAACACTTGCAGCACAAGTTCTAGTTGACACTTTTTGAATTTGTAGCAAATTTGCTTGGCAAGTCTACATCAGGACCTGAGTCCTGCAGGTCTATGCAAGAGCTCTGCAAGCTCGCTGGTCTGGAGACTTGCAATGCAGACTTGCTGTAATTGTGCAACAAATTCGTGAAGCTCGGCAAGTCTGCAAAAGTTTAGCAAGTCATTTTCAAACTTGCAGCTCAATTACTTGCTATCTGGGTTTTTACCTTCCCCTTGATCTCAGTAAAATCGCTTCTAAACAAACGAGTGGCTTCCCCGCTCTACATTTAGCCCTGCTTGCACAAACCAGAACTAAATGTAGGAAAACTACCCGCACGGCGCCCGGAACTTCATGTCCCGGGCGTCAGGTTATAGGAGTCCCGGGCCTCGGTTGGCCTTGTAGAAATGAATATTACCACTTCATAATTCATAAATATACAGCGGAGGATTAGTGGTCACCTTTCTAGCATGCAAACATGTCCCAAGTTTTTAAAGGAGAACTATGAGGTGAGTGAAAATCACTCAGCCTCATAGTTCGAGCCGATGTGTGACAATGAGACTGCCACAGGTCGGCTCAATAAATCGAGAAGTGAGCAAACACATACCGTCGCTCACTCACTTCTCGATACTGTTCCTGCAGAGAGCCGTGACTGTCACTCACGGCTCCCTGCAGGAATTCCCCCCTCCCCTGTCCGATCCTCCACGCTGACTGGTGGAACGGACGGGGAGGGGGCAGGTACAGCTTGCTCTGCCTCTAGATAGGCACAGCCAGCTGTCAATCACCCAGCTGGGTGGATCTCGACAGTAATGTCGGGATCCTTCCCGGCTGCTGCGGTCTCAGTATACCGCGAGCTGTAGCTCGTGGTATACTGATCTTTGGGTCACGGGAGGACGCTGGTTTGTGTCCTCCCGTGACCCTTAGGAGAACTATGGGGAAAAGCATTGACCCCATAGTTCTTTAAATTTAAATCCGATACGATTTTTTCCAGCATTCATCTGATCTATTCTATCTGCAGCCCCCAATCACAGAATAATGTACACTTGCTTTGCTTTCAGGATGTTAAACCCAGAAGATGTAGTCATGTGCTGTCAGTCATAAACATAATTTTACACAGTATATGGAGTTGTGCTGTTATAAGAATATACTGTAAACTAGGCTGCTGAGGTTCCCTGGAATTTGTGTACAATCTGATGGAAAGCAGTAACAATGATTTACCTGCTGATTAATAAGAATTCTTACAACATCACTGACACTCTCCTCCCGGGTGACGATGGCACGAGGTGGGAGGCCTGAAAGATTACAGCCCCTGTAATTAGTGACAGGGGCACGTGAGCCATCCAGACATAATATTTCAAAGTCCTCTGATTTCAAATCTTTAGCCCATTCTGCTGGATTTTTACCTGCAAGGTACAAAGTCATTTATTTAATTTCTTCAGTCAAACACTTAAAGCCTAACTCCAGCCAAACATACAGTATCAAGATAAAATGAATAGCCTCATAAAACCTTTTGCTGTAACATTCACCATCAATCCAAAGATTTCCCCCACAGTACTTTTTTTTTCTCACTAGATGTCCTCAGTCTGATGGCCAGCATCATTCAACCCACTTTCTCTGAGCCCAGCTGTCCCAGCCTGTGACTGGTCAAGGAAGGAGAAGGAGAAGAAAGCTCATCTCTGTCACTCTTCTCTCTCTTCATATCAGCATACTTCTTGTCATCACATGAACTGATTGGATCCTTGTGCTGCTTCTTCCTCTCACACCCCAGCCCTGTTATACAGGGACTGCAAGAGGCTGATTCCAAAACGAAATAGCCCAATAAAATAACAAAGAACAAAAGCAGCTTTTTCCCGCAACATTTTTTTTTCTGTTGCTAGATGTCTTCAGGCTGATGGCCAGCATCATTCAACCCACTTCCTCTAATCCCAGGCCATCCTGGACCCGCCCCAGCTTGTGACTGGACAGTGAAAGGAGAAGCAGTGTGTGAGCACATCTCTCTATAACTCTGCTTTATCCCTTTATCAGCATGCTTCTTGTCTGCATATGAACTGATTGGCTCATTGTGCTGCTTCTTCCTCTCACACTCCAACCCAGCTATACAAGGACTACAAGAGGCTGATACCAGGTCAGATTCAGGTACTTACACTGCTTGCATTAAAAAATATATATTTAATGGTGTATTATTGGTTACAGCTAGGGATGCACTGATACTGTTTTTTCGGTATTGAGTAAGAGCACCGATATTTCAGTACTTGCCCATACCGGTGCTTCCGTTAACATGTAGCCAGCTTGCTCCCATCAAGTCATCAAGGCGGGTGGTGTCTTGATTGCCCGGGAAGCTGGCACCATGATTTTTGGGCCAGCTCCATGCTGATTGCCCCGGAAGCTGACTTCCCAGCTAAAAGGTATCGAGCCGGCTGTTTGGCCAGAAAGGGATGGCTCTTTCAGAGTTCTGCTTCCTGGCTTTGCATTCCACAGCACTTCCGGGTCCTGCGGTCCACGGGTGGAGAGCTGTGGACTCCTGCGCAGTCTGCTGGCCCTGGGATCTGGCCAGTGATGTCACAATGGACCAGAATCCGCAGATGCACGGGGAGAGCTGTCAGTGCGTGCCTGGTGAGTACTGCACCCTGCCTGCATTGCTGTGCTTTCTTAATAGCCAAATAGCATGGAACCAGCTTCCCGGGCAATCCTTTTAGTTGTGCTTCAATATGAGCTCCAGGCAAACAGCTAAATTCACAGATGAAATACGTATATGAAAGCTATTTTACCCGCCATATTATTTGTATTTGTGTCCGTCCATCAAGTTCTGAAATGTACATAGCTCCACCTCACAGCATAGCCATGTCTAGCATGGGAAGGGACCTGATTTTTCTCTACTACACGTTCACTTTTACTTACAGGTCCCTCAACACCCTGTGCCTGAACAGTGAAAGAAGAAGAAGCGGACTGATGAGCACTTCTTTTGTTTGTTCTCATCATGCTTGTTGCACTGCAGTATACAGTACATGACTGTGTGTGCAGCTTCTCACTCCTACTCTCTGAGCTCTACTGTACAGCAAGAGGCTGATACCAAGTTAAAGTCATGCTGCTTGCATTTGAAAACAAGCATTTACTGATATATTTCTAATGGATTACAGAGCTACATAACTTGTGCCTTTGCATCTGCCTGGAGTTCAGCCTTAAAGGGTCAGTACACATAAATGACATATCAGTTTGGGTGGATTCATTCATCAGAAGCAATCATCCACCAGCTTATATATTATGTGGGCACCAGTAGAAATATATCTGCTCTTCCTACTGGCCAGTCATCACAAGACTTCTCTCTCTATATGTATAGTTATTTATTTAATGGAACAGAGCCATAACCTCTCATAAGATTATCAGGGTTATTCACAAAAGGGTGAAGAGTTTGGAGAAGGCAGGAGAAGTGAACAATCTAGGACAACATAGCCAAACTAGAAAGTGAGCTGAATTGGAGAATGTTTCCAAATCAGCTATGTTGTCCTAGATTGTTCACTTCTCCTGTCTTCTCCAAACCCTTCACCCTTTAGTGAATAACCCTGTATATCTCTAGGGTTCCTGTGTGGCATAGGAAGCCACTTGGTAAATCTACATACTGAAATATTTCAAACCAGCATTCAGTATAAAGGATTTTTCCTTGAGGAAAAAAAATGAATTTTTTATTGCTCAGTCTGAGGATCAGGGGCGTCCCGAGGAGGGGTGTCACCCAGTCTGCAGAACGGGTGACACCCTGCAGTGTCGTCATTGCACCAATGCGCAGCCATCTGATTGAGAGAGGAGGGGGCGTTCACCTGGAGGTATGCCGCCGGGTCCCCTCCTCTCTCCTGACGCTGTCAGGCTCTTGGTCCATGAGCGAGTACCCGACTTTTTAGAGGGGGTGACACCAAAATGATTGTCAGTCATTTTGGTGTCACCCCTGCAATGGTGTCAGCCGGGTGCGAGCCGCACCCCCCTTGTGACGCCATTGCTGAGGATTATTATTTGTACTATGCAAAATGAATATTAATACACCCTGGATAGCTCAACAATAGGTTTTAAGTAGATTACGATTAATAGACTTTTTTTCAAAGTATCTGGCTGTGACTTTACATTACTGAGCAACATATCCAACATACATTTCATTGAGAAACGTTACCAGCTAAATTTTGAATTGGCACTAAAGTGTGGTGAATACTAGGTATCATATTCCTTGCTTACCATCTGTGTTTGCGAACACAACAGTGTGAGGCACAAATGCTACATCTCCTTTTTCCACAAGACATCTATAAAACAGAATTGAAACAGTGTAAAATAAAACTATAATATAAAATGTATTGTATGTTATAAGTCAATCCTATTCTAATTTATCACATCATATAAAACAGAATTCCTTGATTGTCACCAGCTGTGCAAATAAATACTTCACCCTTCTAATCAGGTTTCATCAAGACTGTGCCCTGCTCATCTATACCCTGCTAATTACACTGTACAAAATGTAACCTGCCCATCACATTGTACGGAATGGGCCCTGCCTGCCCATCACATTGTACAGAATGGACCCTGCCTGCCCATCACATTGTACAGAATGGGCCCTGCCTGCCCATCACATTGTACGGAATGGGCCCTGCCTGCCCATCACATTGTACGGAATGTACCCTGCCCATCACATTGTATGGAATGTACCCTGCCCACCCATCACATAGTACGGAATGTACCCTGCCCATCACATTGTTCAGAATATACCCTGCCCATCACATTTTTCAGAATATACCCATCACATTGTACGAAATGTACCCTGCCCATCACATTGTAAGGGATGTACCCTGCCCATCACATTGCACAGAATGTACCCTGCCCATCATATTGCACAGAATGTACCCTGCCCATCACATTGCACAGAATGTAGCCTGCCCATCACATTGCACAGAATGTACCCTGCCCATCACATTGTATGGAATGTACCCTGCCCATCACATTGCACGGAATGTACCCTGCCCATCACATTGTACGGAATGTACCCTGACCATCACATTCCTATCATTTTGAAAAGCATGTGCCCGGTCTGTCACATTGTTAGGAATGCACCCTGCCCATTATTTAGTGCAGTTGTACCCTGCCCATCACATTGTTAGTGATGTACCCTGATCATTGTATGACAGCCAATCACAATGTATAGCACTTTCCCTGCTCATCACAGTTTGTATAGTGTTAACTGTTATTACCATGGAATGCGTAATGTACTTTACTTATCTCAGAAGAAGACTACACCTGCTCATCACACTGTACAAACTACATGTCCTGTTGCTCAGATTGTAAAACTAAATAAAGCATCAGTATGTTGTAAAACATTTGTATTTCCACAGATATATTAATGTATTTTACCTAAAGGCGCCTTCGTTTCCATAATAAGCCTCCTTATCACTGAGAGAACATCTTGTACTGGCTTTGGGATTCTCGGGGTCACCAATGCACAGTTTACAAAGCTTGGAATTAGTATCTGATCCAGGAGCACAGCTTTCACCAAAGAAGGATTCTAGACAATATTAACACAATATAAGTCTTAAATCAAATTAATCATTCAGCTCCTGAACTTAACTCTGGACCTTGTCTGCAAGTGCTGGCAATGCCAATGTCTCTGTTTCTAGCTGAGCTTCTAACCTATATTTCTGTATCACCCATTGAAGAACACAGGAATTCTTAGACTGTTGTGTTGTACTGCCGCCTACATATACTGTATAAGAAATGGAAAACAACAAAAAGAAAAAAAATAGTTAGCGAGCACAGGATAGCCCTCTCCACAACCATCATACCCCAGTTTGTTGCTAGTGTCTTGTATTATCAATGGCTCCTGGTAGATTTATAGTTTTGTTTTGTTTCTATTCCTTATATTGATTTTTTTCATGTCGGATGTATTCGTTGTATAGCGGTATTTATTTTAAAAAACATTCCTTATTTCAGCCATTAGTTGCAATTGTTGTATTTGTTCATTCTTTATTTCAGACATAAGTTGCATTCGTATCCATTCAATGTATTTGTGCATTTGTTATTTCAGACATTAGCTTTATTCTGATATCATTCAATGTATACATTCATTATTTCAGAATGCACTCTCAATAACACAAAAGGGATAAGCTAATCGGCCATAGACACACATTAACATCGCCCCCAATTTGTGATGTATTTCCCTTTCTTCTCACATTGTCTTTATGGCATCAAAATGTCTGCTTGTCTCATGGCCAGTGGCATAACAATCACCATAGCGACCCAGGCGGCCGCTATGGGGCCCAGGGCACAGGGGGGCCCGGCCAGGACATTCCTGATGCCTTGCGGGCCACCTGGGTTGCTATGCCATCTCACGCTGCTGGCTGTCACTAGCGGCTGTGAAGAGAAATGTGCCGCTGTTCAGATCACTGACAGGCAACCCCCAGACGGCCCCTGGGCTGCAGGCAACCCCCAATTGTTTGTCGTTTTTTCTTGGGTCTGTTAGTCATTGTTGCTTTGTTGCCCACCACTTTTTGGACTATTTTCAGACACCCTAACAGTCTTCCTATGTAAAATCCGTTTTCCTCCTGTATATTACAGTATAACCAACAGTCTAGAGTTTCCTGTGTCCCTCAATAGACTGCATGAAAAGTATTTTACAGTGACTACAACAATCATTCTCATTATTCCATAAATATCTTTCAGATATACTGTAACTGGTGGTGTGCAGGAGGCTTGAATGGTGCACCAGCTCTGTAAATCAAGGCACATCTGGAAAAAGGACTTCTGTGGCCTTGTGCTTTTATGTGTCTACAGTGAACTCCTCAGTGAATCCTAATGTTCTTATAATTATAATTTATAAGATGTAAAAAGTTGATGGTTTATTTCCCAAAATGAATTCCACCAACACTACTAACTTTTAAGAGTATGGTAATCTTTAAAGTTATTGTCTTAGAATCTATGGCATTTACTGATTCCTGTAGAAGGCTTTAAAGCTGCAGTCTGAGTAGACCATCATAACCCTCTTTTTCAGGATCTACACACCTTCCAATGGGTTCCATAATAAGCCAGGGGATGTTCATAATACCTGCAGTGTTTTGCTTTTAAATGTTTCTTCTTGCTTAGACCAGCTATAATGAGGACTTCCAAGGGAAGATCTGTGTAAGATGCTCATCTCACTTGGCTTTTTTTCAATGCTGAGCGATTGCTTAGACTTTATGTTTTTCATTAAGATAGTCTATGTTTTTTGTAGCTAATTACAAAATTTTCATTGTAACTCCTCTGTTCAATGAAAAGACAAAGCCAGTACCAGCGTTGCACTTACCAATGTCAATATTGTCGTTCTGGTTGCTAATAAGACCAGCAGGGATAACCCAGCCAGGAATATCACCAACATGAGTATGACAGGACTTCTTGCCCTTAAGGTTGTTCCATTTGATGTCTTTGTTGCTTTTTTTTACCAATGCTACAGCACGCTTTGTCCCAAAATCTAAACCAAAGAGAATAATAATTATACAGTGTCATAGGTGTACCTAGGAGGTTATAGGTTTAGTGTATGCCTAATATAAATATACCCTTGTTTGGAGATATGTGGTATACCTATCAGTGCTCAGTTATCAACTGTTACTTTGTCGTCTTGTCAATCTCTACTGTCATATTCTGTAGTGATATACTAACACAATCATGAGAGAGGGAACATAAAGCAGGCAGAGTCTGCACTCTGTGGTGAAAAGTCACACAAAGGCCAGCCAATAGTGAGTGCGCTGGAGTAAAGCGGCTGCTCTAAGATCAGTTTATATGCAGCATGTTTATTCTGTATTTGTGTTTGTTTCTGTGTTTTCTCTTAAAGAGCACATAAGCAAAGGCAACAAACGATATAGGACTTGGAGAATACCATGGGTACTGTAGTTAGGGTGTTTTTTACTCTGTCTCATTTGATTTTTTGCCGAGTTTCCTCCCTTTCCCCTTAAGCCAGGTATACACACATACGTTTTCTTCGTTCAGCTCACAGGTTGAACAAAGAAAACATGACAGATTCCTCCATCAACGCTTAAGGATGGAGGAACCCCATGCTGTTTTCACTGTATTCTAACAGCGGCCGCTGTCAGAACACCCAAATGGAGCTTGCAGCTGATTGGCTCTTTTATACAATACCACTGCTTTCATTACAAATTTAGTTACATATTCCTAATTATTTCACATTGCAAAATGTTTGGTTATCAGATCCAAGATGGATAATATAATCAATCTAAAACAAAACCGATTACTGCAATCTAATACATTTGATGGCATACATAAAATAAAGAATCAAACGGATGGATTAAAAAAAAAAAAAAAAAAGACATGATTTATATGACATTACATAGTTACATAATTAGTCAGGTTGAAAAAAGACACAAGTGCAGCGAGTTTAACCTATAGAGATAATGATTAAAATCAAGCCAAAAGAAAATATACAATGCATGGTGTTCCAAGGATGTATTGTACATAAAATAAAGAATTTAATTGCTAATCAATAGACAGTATAAATAAAGGATAAATTGAGTTCACTAATACAGCTACAATCACTTTAAGCTCCTTGAGCTTTTAACTACTACTACTACTTTTTGTTGCCCTTTATACATTTTCTCAACACTTATCTCTACCATGCTCGCTACACACCCTATCCATCTCAATAAACAAAGTTTTACAAGTTTTACAGAATGGAGTGAGTTTCATAGTGCAGTATCCAAGTATAAGAAGGCCTGTAAACTACATAATTTTAGTAGATATGTCAAAAATATCAGGTGATCGTGAAGAAAAGAACGCTTTCCATAGTTGATAACAAATACAATCCGTTTAACTGATCAAAATAAAATGACATGCCAGTCTTTTATTACCTTTTATTGTAGATCCAGGGATTTGACAAGGATGAAAATCATCTGCAAAAAAAGCAAAAACATAGAAAATCAGATTAAAAGGCATATATTATAGATGAATAACTAGAAAGTGTACCATCTAAAGCATCATTTAAATTGACACAATGCTTGTATGTGTATTCTTGCTACTAATCCTTTTGTTGCATATTAACAAAAGTAAATGCATTTTGGCCAACTAGAATCCTAATAATGCAAAAAGTCACCTAAAGTAAGACACTATTGCCCTAATTGCAGAGTTACATAGGACATAGGAATGCACTGTACTCAGGACTTAGTAAGGCACTGAACTCTGGACATAGCAACACACTGGACTTTGCAACACACTGGACTTAGGACTAAAAACAGAAGCACACTCACAGAGAATACATGCCCCCTCTCCCCAGCCCCTACTACCTGATCACCCGCTTTGTCTCTGTGAAGCCATCTGATCCTGGTCACTAAAGACTACTGTAGAGTCTGCAGGAAATTCCTCCTGCAGAGCCCGCACTGAGGCATATGTTGATCATTCAGGGCTAGGCAAGGTACATGCACATCTGAAGGGATGCCGGGGATGTCCTGTTTGATAGAACATCGGGGTCAGTGAAAACATTCGGGTCAATTGACTAAGCTGCCGTAGGCAGCCGAGTGAATAACCGACCCGAAGTGAAGTGAGCCGAACGCTGTTCGGCTATTCACTTCAGGCTTGTACGGCGTACATCGGGAATGTGGCTTCGGGTCGGCCAAACATGCTCAGCATGTTCGGCCGCCCTGAAGTGCAGAAGGGGTTCGACTCAGCCGATCCAACATCTGGATCAGATAAGCCAAACCTCTGACAGGCTACTCACTGCTGTTAGATGCCGAACAGCATTTGGCTCGGCTATTCTGCTCGGTACCTCTGTGGTACCGAGCAGAATAGAAAAACAGTTAAAAAAGTAGAAAAAATTAAATAGAAAACAATTGGGCAGGGCTAGAAGTGACAGCTGAGCAAATTGAAATAGCCAATAGGAATGTAGCTATGCATTCCTATGGTGTTTTAAAAAAAATATTATTCTGACGGCAGCGAACGGCTCCGATGTCAGACAACAGAGCAGGGAAAGGTTTACTCTGCTCGATCGAGCAGAGTAAAACTTTCCAGGAGAAAGTGTTTCTCTCCCGGGCGGCCGGGAGCTGCTATCTAATAGCGGGAGACTGGGGCCGAAGCTAGCCGAAGGATCAGCCAAATCTACGGCTAGATCCTTTGGCAGCTTAGTGAATAGACCCCTTTGTGCTCTGCTCCAGCCTTCACCGATGTTTTATCAAACAGGACATCCACGGCATCCCTTTAGTGGATGATCTGTATATGTCTCACAGAGTGAGACCGGCTCCCGGTGGCATGTGCCCCCCATGCTAAGCCACTGTCAGGACACTCTGGCTGGGGTTTGAACCCCCCTATCCCCCCTTATCTACGTCCCTGAACTGCACAGTTAGCTGCAAAACTATAACACCCAGTGCCAGACGTATAGCACCAGATGTCTCCCACTCTCTACCTCCTGTCCAGAGCCTCCTCAATGTCCCAATGTCAGTCCCTTCGCAGCCGTGCTCGAGCCACAGCAAGTTCTTCCCTCTGTGCAAGCCCCGCCCACTCCGCGATTCGTGCCTCCAGTCGGCTCCTGCTGTGTGCGGCTGCACACATATGTCAGGACTCCCGGGAGGATTGTAAGCCTGATTCTCACCGGGCCCCCCTCTGCTGCGGGCCCCATAGCGCCCGCATGGGTCGCTATGGCGGTAGTTCCACCCCTGACCAAGATAAATAGTTGCAAACATGTTGGTCCGATAGCATAAAACTCACTGGCCTTGTGAAGCAAATAATTATTTAAAACACCAAATGACCAAGGAGTTCATTTATAGAAGTTTTTCCCCGCGTATAGCCAGGTGAATGCCGTTTGCAAGCCACTAGCACTCTTAGATGGTGCTGCCGAGGTTAGGAAATTCCAATATTCCTCAGCACCTCTAGGGGTGCTAGTGCCGTGCAAATGCCATCCAACTGGCAATATGTGGGGGGGAAATGATCCCATAAGTCTCTAACATCAGCATATAGCAGTAGACAGCAATATCTAATACATATTTGGTATCCTGCCCCCTTCCTGTGCCATATTTGAATATGGTCAGACAATCTGTCACGGACAGATCATGTCACAGTTCTGTGAGGCACATGCTATGAAGCAGAGAATATGAAAATTATTAAGTGGTACTGTGTCACTTCCAGGAAAAGATGATTTGGTCATCATAAGAGTTGTGTGCCTATGCACAATTAAAGTTCAATGTCATCCTTCTGCCCCTCATTCCTCTGCCACTGAGGCACCCTCCATCTCATTTTTTAAAAACTTTTTTTCAGAGGTCTTTAGGACAAGTGCGTGAGACACAAGGTTTTTTCCCCTTCTCTGGTGCAGGGTGGTCCTCGGTAATGCAGAGAGCATTGCTGACCCGACGTTATATGCCTCATTATACTATCATTGTAGGGCGCTGTGGTGATGCCCCCCAAGGGTCCAGGTCCATGACGCCCTGCACTTCACCAAGTCTGTTAAATTGTGATGGATGGCATGCAACTTGGACGAGGACCAGTGCTGGACTGTAGAGAGGGGCAACATGAGAGAGGAGTTAAGAGTGAGAAGAGTGAGAGCTGCATTTTTTGTTTTATACTTCCGAGGATATTTATTTGAAAAAGAAAATACAAGTTAGACAAGTTGGGCCTTTTGATTTCTAGACAGACTGGAGTAAGACAATATTATATTTTTTTTAATCATGGTTCTATTAGCAAACCAATCATTGGATAATCTTTTCAATAATGATGGTAACAATGATGCGGAAGTATATTTTTTAAACATTTAACTTTTGTTCCTACCTTTATTGGGATATTCTTCTACTGCTGGCAGCAGTCCGCACATCAGAGCCATATACATGTATTGTACATCAAGTGTCACTGCATCAGCTTCACCTTTCTAAAGAAACAAGATACAATAAATAAGGGTAACTACCACATAATAAATAAATCCAGGACAACTTCAGTAAATGAATCAATTGCTAAACCCATAGAAGGTCCACTTAGCCACCCTTTTATTTGGTATAATGCAATGCAACCAGATTTAGAAAGACCCAAACAAGGCTTCTAAGCGTGACAACAGCTTCTTGCTAAACGTTTCTTTGGGAGGGGTAGGAAACCTTGGCACTCCCTCTGTGCTAAAACTACCATAAGACATTGCAAGACTAAGAGCCACACCCATGACTCCCAGAGGCAGAGGCATGATGGAGTGCCAAGGTTGCCTACCCCTGTTCTATGGTGTTCAAACTCCCGATGAACTGAACCAGGGAACACACTGGTCAGCAAATTTTAGTTTAGATTCAGTGGTTTTCAGAGAAAGAGGATGTCAGCATCTGTGCATATTTAGCAACCAGGGAAGCTGGATACAGAAGATTCATGCTAAGAAAAAAAAAACATCTATTGAGTTTGTCTGTCTCTTCTGAAAAATTGTAAATGCAAAAATGTTTACGTTTAGCTGAAATGCTCCTTTAACACATTCCATTCCCTATGAGAACAATAATCAAACAGGAGTGTATACATATATATATTTTAAGAAAAGAGGAGGATGTTTTCTACACTTTAAGTATTGATTAATGTAACTATATATTGCAGGGAAACAAACTGGGCTATTACACATAGGAATGAATCATTAATTATCTTCCATTATTTAAGGTTATGTTCACTAATGTGCCAAAAGGGAATATTTGGTTAGTGTTCTCAATGCCTGCCAAACACCCCAACCTAACGGGTATAAAAGGGTGTACTATGCCACATTTCTTTGTTTGTCAGGCATTGTGTCATGCTAACCTGCTCTCTTCACTTAAAGGCTTTCCCACCGTGGCACCATCAACAACAGAGTCAGAACAAAGCCTACAAAACATGGTATTAAATGTTGTACTGCACCCAGCACCAGCATAATTGTAGCCCAATATGCAAAGTGAAGCACAGGCTCTGGATGGGGCAGCAATTTCACCTTTCTTTGCCCCATTTTTTACACTTAGATTCTTGGTGTGTGTTAAGGCTGAATGAGGCTTATTACATCATAATTTGATGAAAGTACCATGGAAAAGCCATAGCCATCATTTATTGACTATTAAAATCTCTAGATATGAGTTAGGTATGACTTCATAAGTCAACTAGTGCTCTTCATACAACTTCATAAAAAATTATGAGCAATTTTTAGGTAGTAAATCTGAATTTTTTTTATATTTTGCAGTTTACCAGTCCTTAGATGTGGTGGCTGCATTAAAGTAGAACTGTAGATAAATCATGAACAATACATATGTAATACAGCAATTTAAAGTGACACTAAACTCAGGAATTAAGTCTTAAAAAAGCATTCAAGTACCTTTAACTATTAACAAAAATGTATCTTATGTGTGTATCACTCGGCTGTACATCCTCAAATCATCTCTGAATTGGTGCTGACACTGTCCTTCCTTCTGGAGGGTGGCTACTTTTGTTCCTCATGGTCCCTGTGTGTGTTGTTAAATACCCACCACTCCAAGCTCGCTCCTGTGATGTACTACAATCTCATGTTTAGTTTACTAATTTGTATTGAGTTTGTAGTCCATCACAGGAGTGAGCTTGGAGCGGTGGCTACTTTACAACACACACAGGGACCATGAGGAACAAAAGTAGCCACCCTCCAGAAGGAAGGACAGTGTCAGCACCCATTCAGAGATGATTTGAGGATCTACAGCCAAGTGATACACAAATAAGATACATTTTTGGTAATAGTTAAGATACTTGAATGCATTTTAAAGACTGAACTCCTGTGCTTAGTGTCACTTTAAGGCAGAAGAGTCAGCAACCTAAATCTCTGGATGTTCAGGTCATTTTGACATGATTTGAATTTTGGAAGCCTCTCTGCATTTTTGTCTTCATATGTCCATTGTTATTTGCCCAGGTTTGTGACAGGTTTAGAGAGAATGTTTTAGAAGTCATTCTTCTCAATAACACTGGCTATGTAAATGATACATTGTTGAAATAACTCTAAATTAAGATTTGCATATATTTTTGTTTGTAGTTGTATATAATATTTAGCTCACCAAAATCTGTTTAACACAGTGCTCTGGACAAGATGCCTCTGTGCATGCAATGGCCCCACCGCTTACAGCTGCCCAATCCTTACACTTCATCATTTCCGGTTTATTTATTGTACACCAGCGCACTTTGTTCTTGGATGGAAGCTTTACATCTAAGTTAAGACACCATTGTTTTTACATTAACAGTCTGTTATTACACATACAATAAGTGGTAACAAGTAGTATTGGTGAGCTATTGATTAGCACTATGGCTTTGCAGTATTGGACCTTGGGAACATTTCCCAACAGGGCTGCTTCCTATATGTGCTTTGTTTTGTTTTCTTCTTCGGTTTCTTTTGGACACTTCTGCCTTTCCTTACTACCCAAATTTACACTAAATAGGTCAATGCTAGACCAATGTGTAGGCAGAAAGGGAATCCTCCCTGGGAGCATCAGTAAGAAGAGTTACTATAACCACAATCATGAATGAACAGGAGGTGATGTAGATCACGTCCCATTCATTCATAATTGAGGATAAAGTTAACACACTATATCCTCAATTATGTACAAACACTCAGCGATCACTAATCGCTGAGTGTTTGTACCTTGCTCTCCATCCAGACAGCTGTCACAGGAGGCTGAGCAAGCAGAGCGGGGAGGAGAGCTTAGCCTCCTGTAACAGCGCTGGCTGTCTCCGCCCACACATCGCTCTGCCGATCTGTAACAGGAGGCTCAGCGGTGCAGGGAGGAGAGACGCTTGCCGCTCACAGCGTTCTCCTCCCGCAGCACTCGGCCGCCTGAGACAGTTTCTCTTCTCCCTGCTGGGACAGAGAGCAGCACCCAGTGATGAGGAAAGAATTCACAGATGCACCGCTATATCGGCAGAAAAATTGCACTTTCGGCATTTAGCCAAAAGTGTCATTTTCGGCCAATATATCGGTGCATCCCTAATATATATATGAAATACTATGGCCGCCATTTGTACAGCATGGACGATTTTAAAATGTTTGCCTTCTTTGGTCTTAACACACTTTAAATAGCAGATCATTGCACATCAATATAGCCAGCACAGTGACAATTAACCACATCTACTGTACAAATGTGGTTTTAAAGCCAAATATTATCATTAGAGGTGCACCGAAATGCAGATTTCAAAACCGAAATGAAATCGAATTTAAAAAAAATGTCAGGCCGAAACCGAAAATGTTTTTATTTGAACTTTTTCAAATTTAAAAAAATATTTTATTTGTATTTACTTTTTATAAACTTTTTAATTTTTTAATATTTATTTTTTCATTTTTATTAAATATTTACATTTTTCTACTTTACTTTTAGGGGCTATGGGGAAATATTAGGGGTCTAAACAGACCCCTGATATTTCCCTTTTAAAATAGAAAAAAGGAGCACACAGAGCAAAAAAGGAGCCACAGAGCAGCGCCCAGCAGGGAGGAGAGAATACACGGATGCAAAAAATTGCACTTTCGGCATTATGCCAAAAGTGCCATTTTGGCCCGATATGTTTCGGCGGCCGATATATATCGGTGCATCCCTAATTATCATAATGCCCAACTACAGAGAGGGCATAATTTGTCATCTTCGCCCTGGAGTACTAAAGGACCTTGTCTTGGCACTGGATATGATGTTTGGCTACTGACCACTCTGGTCCTAGAGTGTGTTTGTGAGTAACAGGGACTTCCGATTGTAAGCCGTCAGGAACTGATAGCAATAGTAGAATGCTCTCTATGGTGCAGGCAAATATGTTACTAAATGAAGAATAGACAACTTTTGCACCACATACCTTCAGTCAGTGCTTTCATAGCATTGTACCACTTTACTCCAAGAAAGAAGAATGCATCTATTTCAGATGGGAGAGGGGCTAAGTGTGTGGTAGAATCATCAAACATCAGATCTTTCCCATGTGGAGAACCGAACAATTTGCATTTCTTTTTCTTTAAACAAAAAGAAAAATAAACGTTTTTAAGAGCCCACTCATAAATGTTTGAGGAAGATATAACAACTGCGTTATTATTCTTGGTACCATAGGTCCAAGTCATTTAATAATAAAAAATGGAAAATACTTAAATGAGAAAAAGTATATGGGCTACACTACACAAGTCATTTAAAGTCAGGAAACCCATACCATACAGCTTGTGCCTTAGGAGTCTTGGACTATCTTTGTAGTAACAGTTCAATCCTGAGGTTGGATCAAGAGCTTTTCCCTGAATTTCATAGATATCATCTGTAGTTTATTGACTATTAATAACATTTGTTAAGGTGCCCATACACCTTACAATTTATCTGCAGATTTTCTGTGGTCAGATGGAAAAGGTGCAACAGATTCCTCCATCTATGCTAAACTGTGTGGATGGAGGAACCTCCACCTGGGCAAATCTGTTGCACTTTTTCCATCTGACCACAGAAAATCTGCAGATAAATTGTAAGGTGTGTGGGCTCCTTTAGGCAGTATAGGAACAAAGCATATACCTGAGCCTCCAGGAGAAAGTCATTGATGTCCTTAGTCTTGTCACCGGCTTTTCTGGTCACCACTGCATCTGCTGGAACTTTTCCTAAGTTACACTCCTTATATTTGTTAAGGGGCTTCCTAGTATTGTCTGGACACAGAAGTTCATACACCCCTGAATGTTCATCTGCAGATAAAACATTAATGAGCACATAAAAACTTCCTTCATACCAAACACGCTTTCCTTTATCAGTCACTGTTCTGTCTTTTTTGTCTATAAAATGCGGCTTATTTCTATATCTGTCTGGACAAAAATTGTCTGTTTATATTTGTCGGTCAGAATCAAATTCTATTTTTTTTTTGTATAGGAGGTGTATTGTATTTTTTTTTATTGTATTGAGAGAAGAACTAGGACTGGTTGAAGCAGGTATAATAGACGGCTGTATTTACCAAAATAATGCAAGGGGGTTGATTTACTAACCTTATAAACACGCCACGAACATGTATACACGTCTGTAGTGTGTTCCCTCCCAGCATGATCTATGGGTGGAATCTAAACACCTTTGTAGTGTGTACACACCCAGCAGGTGTGTTGTGCAAAGCTCTGCATGAATTACAAGGTGATGTTGTGTAAATTAGCTCTATGTTGTGTTGCTTGCGTTGATGAATGCAGGAATGTAAATGCATGAGCTAACCATTTTTGTCTAAACTGTGAAGCAGCATTATATATGCATCATGTGCATGATTTTTCCATATATGGCATTAGTGGAAATATGCTTTTAGAGACTTTTTGGTTGATAAATACGTTTTGCTGTGTGAAAATCACACGCACCTGGTGCGTGCGTGTGTTTAGGTTAGTAAATCACCCCCAAGGTGTCATTTAAAGTGTATGTAAACCCAAAATGTATTTTTCAGTATGTCTGGCATCAAGTACACAGCTTTCTTTAAGCAAATAATTTTTTTAAATCTGCTGCAAAGGTTCTTTTCTGCAGATCCTGGCAGTAACATCTCTTCCTGTTGCAGACTGACAACCCTAAGCCATTGCATCACAATTAGCATGTAATGTACTTACCAAAAAGCCGTTACAAGGAACATGGCCCTGTTCTCAAGATTATGGGCAAAAATGCTCCGAATAGTGGGCGTGTCTATTGGAATTCATGCGCACGGATATACATGCAGATATGCGCTCAGAAATGTGTACAAACGCACTGACATAAGAATTCCTGTGCATGAACCTTAGCAAGATGTAACCCTGACTTCCCTGCTCTCACCAATTTGGCACCATGTCTCTGCATCTGATCCCCTGTGTGTGACCCTTACGATGATCCTGATCCACCTGTGGTTCCCGCTGGGCTTTCCTACTGGAACTCTGTGCTGTTTCCCTGCAAGTCAGATCCAGCCCATAATTTCACATCGCTACTTCAGTTCCTGTCATCACGGTCTTCAGGCAACCACACTCACGCTCCTATACAGAACCTGCATTTACCATCACATTGGCACTTGTATGTCCCTGAGTCCTCACTCCTCCTCTCATCACCTCCAGGGGAGTCAGACAAGTGGTGCAAGGGTAGCCCTCTGTTCAGATCAGTCTCTATCCAGGAATGTGACATACCAGGAGCGCTGTCATCCTGATGTGGACAGTTGGCCATTGGCTGCTTATCAGGTCTATAAGATAGGCAGCCAAATGGCAACTAATTGTTTTATAAATTCACTTGCACATGACTGAGTATTTAAAGTCTAAAAGTATATAGCTTCACCTTATTCACTAAACAAAGTAACCATTCACAGAAAATGAACATTCCCTACTCATTTAGTAAATATCTTACACTGGCATCTCTTTATTGGGATCAGTAGATCTCTTTATTGCACAATTCCTTTCAACACGAACAACAGTAAGGATGTAACTTATAGGCTGATATTTGAAACAGAGCACACTGATAAATTACAGTAGAATACAATGCTATACCATGCACAAAGACTATGACAGTTTTGTTCACTGCTTAAATAGGGAGGCAGCAGTATCACACTGCCCTACACAATTGTGTTCAGAACAGATTCACTTTACTGGAACACTGCAGCTTATCACGCAGTCAGTAGGCTCCTCCATATTGCCCAAAGAAACTCACAACCACCAAGCTATCTGTGGCCTTCTGTCGTGTCTTAGGCTTGTACATTTGACCTCATTTTCAAACAACTGGTACTTACAAACCCTAAAACACATCCATTGCTTGGCTTCATTTACAGAGGTACACCAATTACACCAAAGGGGTCCTTACCCTAGAGAGTGACATATCACCACACAATACTAAGAAACCTTAACTACCTCCTTCAACACACACATGCACAAATATACATTTTGGACAGTATATTTAATTTAAAGAATATCTGTACCTTTACATAAAATACTATGGGATCTATTCACGAAGCTGCCGAAGGATCTGGCCGTAGCTTCGGCCGATCCTTCGGCTAGCTCCGGCCCCAGGACCCCTTTGGTTCAGTAGAACCGAAGGGGTGCTGTACGGGCTATTCACGATAGCCCGTACAGCTCCCGATCATGGCCGAGCGGCTCAGCCGAGCCGAACGCATATGCATCAGCTCGGCTGAGCCGTGCTGAAAGCCGAAGCTGGCCGGCCGACAGCCTGCTTCTGACAGCTGGGGATCAGCGTCCCTGGTTACCTGCTAACCAGGGACACTGATCTCCAAACAGCTAACTCTCCCTGGCGGCCCGGGAGTCTCCTGCTCCCGGCCGCCAAGGAGAGAAACACTGCTGTGTCTTTTTTTTCTTTATTCTGACACGAGCGATGTCAGAATAGAAAAAAAAAAAAAGAATTTTCCCATTGAAAAGTGGCCGGAGCCTGCTGCAGTTCCCCATCAGGTCCATCAGCAGAGGGCGGGTACAATGCTAGTTTACTATTGGCTATTGCACATTGAAATAGCCAATAGTAATGTATCAATGCTTTTCAATGGGAAAATTGCTTTTTTTTTTCTTTCTATTCTGACATCGATCGTGTCAGAATAAAGAAAAAAAAAGACACATCAGTGCTTCTCTCCTCGGCGGCGGGAGCGGGAGGCTACCAGAGCGCCCGGGAGAGTTTTTTTTTCTTTTTTTTTTACAGCAGCAGAGCCGTCGGACAATAGGAAACTATTGGGCGGAGCTAGCTGTCACTGCTAGCTCCACACAATCGTTTTCTATTTACTTTTTTTAACTTTTTTCACTCTTTTTCTGTTCTGCTCGGTCCCTCTATTCACTCAGTGCTGTTCGGTATCTTTAAGAATAGCCCGAAATGCAGTGAGAAGCCTGCCGGAGGTTCGGCTCTGCTGATCCAGATGTTGGATCGGCTGAGTCGAACTCCTTCTGCACTTCGGGTCGGCCGAACATGCTGAGCATGTTCG